AATTAGACATCACGTAATCGACCAATAGATCAAATCGAAGTGCAAGAATGATTGCTAGTTACAGTAGCCAATCAGACATCATGTAATCCACCAATAGCGTGCAGCCACTCTCATTGGTTGCTGTATAATTATTCTAACGTCATATTTTTTATAATTTTATATTTTTTGGTAGTTTATTAACAAATTTATTGTTGTAATTATTTAAATTTATTAATTTTTTTTAACTTAATCTTGCAGATATGTTGCAAAATGATTATTTATTAATATACATATATGTATATATCGTAAATTATATAATATAATATAATGGGAATAATATGATGGAATATAGGAGATTATTATATTTGAAATAACACAAAAGCACAATAACTTTTAAAACACTAAATGAATTTATTTTTTTTTCCTTACTAGGGCCTAGTGATACCTTATATTTCATCAAAGTGTATACGCTACTGAGGACTTCTACGGATAGCTTACTGCGCATGCACTGGAACTGCCCAACACTGCGCCGTATCGTTTTCAAACAATTAGTTCTAACCTTGCACCGCTAGAGGCTGGAGCTTTTTGCTGTACGTAAAATAAAATATTTTTAATTTCTTTTTCTAACCTATTTAGCACATTGTGATGACATTTCTTCATTTCTATAGACGTCCTGGAAAACTATTCTTCTCAGAAAAGCGTGAAAGTTCCTAATTTTGAAGAAAAACACAATTCCTTATTTTTCTAGATTCACGTTTAACCGCCAGATGGCAAGTGCTACTGTTTTCAAGCAGCGCGCGCGAAAATATAAATTTTCAAATATATATTCAAGAATGATGCTCCCAAAATACTTTCAATTTTTTAAATTAATTACTGTACAAAATATTGTAATCTAATAGTAACTTTTTCTATAAACAGCTTTTCAATATAATTATTTTATAAAGAGAAGTGCACTATTTATTGATTTCGCATTTGTTTCTTATCAACAGGGAACTATATGTTATAGCGATTGACCGGATCTCTTTCGCTTCATCGCCATTTTCCCTATGATAGCCACTTGAGTACTCAATCACGCATTGCAACTAACTTCAGTACGTTTCCACTACTTATAATGTCACACTTCTACTGTCTCTATCATATATACGGTGGACAAAAATATGTGAATAGAGCGAAGAAGTAATAATATAAGCAGTATATAACATAAAGGATCACAGGGTATTCTCGTTTGGTGCCGCCAATGTTACAATGTTTTAGTAATAATTAAAGTCGACATGCGCGGAATAAACGAAAACTCGTTGTTCAATGAGTACGATCTTAAGTGGAACGGAATGATAAAAATTAAAGACATCGAAGAAGTCTAAGTGTGTTCTTACAAAGTATTTTAAATTAATTATACTGAGGGATAAAATTGCTGAAATGGAAAAGTATTCAGGCCTAATTTATTGTACATGAATTTTTATGAACTGTCCACGGACATTTTACCATTGACAGCTGATATGATATGATCATGGCGGAATCCACGAAGAGAACAGAAGATGATAAAGTTAAATGTAAAATTTTAATTGTTGGTGCTGGTATGGCCGGATTATCGGCCGCAAATCACTTACTGAAAAACCACGAAACTGATTTTTTGATTGTTGAAGCTCGAGGACGGATAGGTGGTCGAATTGTTGCTATGAAACTCGGTAAATGTATACATAACCTATTTTCAAAATTGGTTAATAATCAATACATCTTCGATTACTCGTTTTAGCTTTTGATTCTGGTTATATAAATTTATCCTTCTTTCTAATGAACAGCGTTTTTTTTAATGTATTTCATATACATACAAAATTGTGTTCTGTTATTCAAGATAGTCATTGAAAGTGTAAATAAGTTAAACATCTTCTTTATTTTACTTTCAAAACTAAATACTAGACATTTCTTAGTTCAAAGTCTAAGTTGTGTGCATATTTTAACATAGGTAATGAGAAGATAGAGTTAGGAGCAAATTGGATCCATGGAGTATTAGGAAATCCAATGTTTGAGTTGGCAATGGCAAATGGATTAATAGACATTGTACGTGTACCAAGGCCTCATAAAGTTGTAGCAGCAATGGAAGATGGAAAACAGTTGCCTTTTCCAGTTTTACAAGAAATCTATGAAGCTTATGTATGTTTTCTAAGACGGTGCGAAGAGTACTTTCTGAGCTCTTATAGTCCTCCAGATGGCATAAACAGTGTTGGAGCACATGTGGCATTGGAAGCTGAAATTTATTTATCATCTTTACCAGTTGAAGAAAGGAAAATTAGACAACTATTATTCGATTGTTTACTTAAAAGAGAGACCTGTATTACTGGCTGTGATAGCATGGAAGATGTTGATCTCTTGGAAATGGGTTCATATGCAGAACTTCAAGGTGGAAATATTAGTCTTCCAGATGGATACAGTGCGATATTGGAACCAGTTGCAAAACACATACCAAAAACTAGCATTTTAACTAGACATGTAGTTACTAAAATTAGGTAAAACAGGTTGACATTACTTACATGGTACAAGTCTTAAAGAAAATCAATTTTTATTTTCATGGAATTGTAGGTGGCAGAGAAAAAAAAGTGTGGACAATGCAAATATTGAAGTTAATAACTGTTCTAATACAAATCCGCATATTGAGATACAGTGTGAAAATGGAAAAACAATACTAGCGGAACAAGTAATCTGTACATTACCACTAGGTGTACTTAAGGAGAAAGCAAACGATATATTTGAACCACCTCTGCCAAATTATAAACTAGAAGCCATAGATAGACTTTTATTTGGTACTGTGGATAAAATATTTTTAGAATACGAAAGACCGTTTTTGAATCCTGGTGTATCTGAAGTAATGCTTCTGTGGGATGACAGAGGATTGACAGAAGAGGAAAAGCAAGATGTTACTAAAACGTGGTTTAGAAAGATATATTCTTTTACAAAAATTTCAGAGACTCTGTTATTAGGATGGATATCAGGAAAAGCTGCCGAATATATGGAGAAATTGAGTACAGCAGAAGTGGCAGATGTATGCACATCGATATTAAGAAGATTTTTAAACGATCCGTTCGTACCAGCACCAAAGAATTGTTTGCATACATCGTGGCATTCTCAGCCGTATACACGCGGTTCCTACACTGCTATGGCTGTCGGTGCAAGTCAATTAGATATTAATCGTTTAGCTGAGCCTATATTTCAAGAGAATGATCCTACTAAAATTTTAATAGCATTTGCAGGTGAACATACACATTCTTCCTTTTATAGTACTGTACATGGAGCATATTTAACTGGTCGAACTGCTGCTCAAGCGCTCTTGGAATCGAAAAAGAATGAAAAGAATTTATTGAGTCTTAGTTGCGAAGACACGAGCGATCTCAGTTCGTGGATACAAGGAATTTCCTTGAATTAAATATTGGGAATTATTTGAAAGAGAATCAGAAATCGTTCTGTATCGACGTTTACACATTATTGAGCACAATTTATTACCGAGGTACGAGCGATATTTTACACTCTGTCGAGGTTGATGACAATTGTGATTTATAGATGTTTAGTATTAAGCAGAACGTATATACTGTTTTAATTTTGTAAATACTATAGTGAATTGTTTATATTATGTACATAAGGATGCCTGTTTAAAATTTTAAGACTTTATAAACGTGCATTTTTCGATTTTATGTACTATCATGCCGTTCTTGTATGATCAAGAAAGGAATGATAGTTTGAAATTGTATTGCAAAACGAAACTTCATTTTGTGGGGTCACCTAACAGGTTTAGTACAGAAGTTTTATATATTCAATGCCATCGAAAGTGCTTTTTATTAAAGAAGTTAATAGAAATTAATTCAGACGTCCGTGATTATTAGCTATCGTGTTAAATAATAAAATTATATTTGCTGCTATATTTACATTTGTAAAATAACGAATAGGATGATGTTAGATTAACATTGTCTTAGTTTGAGAGAAACGACATGAAGCCTTTATGTTTGCATAGAAAATGTAGCAACGTTAATTGCTATGCATAAGAAATAGAATTTCCAAACTTTGCAAGGATTTCCGAATCACTGCTTTTTATTTTTATTAAATTTCTATTTCCTTTCTCCAGTATGTTTTTACTTCAAAGTATTATAACAAAGTGCATTTTATCTAGTCATATTGTGTTAAGCATTTTAGTTGTATACATATAACACTATGATCTTTTATAATTTTCTAAATGCACCTAAGATACCGATCAATTTGGAATAAATCCAATGACAGTCTACTGCGTAGATCATTTTTGCATATCCGTTTGAAGTTAAGACAATAGAATAGGTGACCAAATAAATAAAAGAGTCCTTTATGTTTAAAACGTGATAGAAACTTTTGCAATATTACTGTTTTAATATACATATACGTTTCGTATTTTTTCAAAGTTCTTTTGTAGTATATATTCCGGATTTCTAAGATCCCAAATAGATTTATTTTTTTGCAACTGCCACTTAATATTAACTCATGAAAACGCAAACTGAAATGTAATTGATAAAATAAACAAAAAAGAAAATATTATATGCACAGTTAGTGAATAGAAGAAATAAACAATTTTCAGTAATTCTCTTAATTAATTATTTTATGTTTTAAGTAAACCTATACCTCCTACAAGATGGAGGGGAAATAATGTTGAGTACTAAAACAATTGGTAAAAACTTTTTATTGAAAAATCTGTTCTTGTTTTTAATCATGTAAAAGCACATTTTCACTGTGATAAGAATTATTTTGTTAGCACAATAATGATGGTGTATCATTTGCTGAAATAAAACGGCTGAAAGGCTCAAGTATTTTTCACGTACACGCGTGACTTTGTTTAGAAATAAGCAATAAATTTATTGTTATTGTCAGTTTGTACATTTATTGTACAAATAAATATTATACAGCATATTTTTAAGCAACTATGGCATTACTTAATTACGTACAGGTACATAAATTCTACTCAGAATTTAATTACAAAGTGTAACTGTACATCAATTCATGAGATTAATTATAATAATACAAACATTAGTTTGAATCATGCCTTAACTTTAAACACATCCCATTATTGGAATTGCTGAGGAGCAACATGGTATCAGTTAGCTTTGTTGTAACAATTTAATGAACTAATTGTTGTTTGTTTAACATTTCCAAATAATTAGGTAAAGGATTAAAAATTTGGGATCAATGCAAACAAAAAAGTTTTATAAAATACCATAACTAAAAGCTAACTTGTACTCCTGAATCTCTTAGCAATTCATCTATAATCATTCACAGCATAAAGTTAAAGATATAACTAATTTCACAAAATAAGAAATAAAAGATATGTTAATCAAATTGAACGTGGCCATTATAAAACTTTTATAAAAAGAAGAAGCATGACAATATGAACAATCAAATTAACTGGTTGATAATCAATAATATAATGCCTCCTGAATGTGCAGTGGTATTTCAACATCTAGTTGAAATGAAACAGAATCAAAATTTTGCTTTATTTTCATCTTTATATTATTGTTGAATTTTCAAGCTATTTATAAATTTTGTCTGCAACGAATGTTTTCATTAAAATTATTATTAAAAAATAAATAAGATGTTAATGTTCCTGAAAAGTAAATGTAAACGTAGTTAATTATCTTCCAACTTATTTAACTTAAGTTATGCCTATATAAAGTGTAATACAGTAAATAAATTAAAAATATAAATTGACTATTCAGTTACATTCACTGCATGCACCAATGTAACTGTATAAAGGAATATATATAATAATCATTTAGTGTTTCTGTTAGAGAGTAATAAAATACATTTCTTTACTTTCTAGATAATAGTTGAACACTTTTTGTCTAGTGCAGTGAGGTATTTTAAATACCATAATATTTTTATCATTGACTTTCTACAAATATTACTAGCATGAAACAACTTCTCTTCTGCATGTATTGTGCCCCTTTACAAGCATACAAATCTACTGAAGATTGAACACATTTATAATTACTTTATATATCAATTTCAAAACTGAATAAGAAGGTGACTATAACTTTCTAAAAATTTAGACTTTTCTTATTATTGAATTGGACTGAAACTATGGTTTACATGTGTTTTGCAACTGAATCGTACTAACAGCAAATTAAGCTATCATATTGTAGCGATGGAAGACAAAGATTAAATGTGAAACATTATTCAGAATGCATATCTATTGGTACTAATGTTTTGTCTAGATCAATCATGTACAATCGGATTTTATACATCTCAACTATGTTATTAAAAATCGTGTGTTATTTTAATTACCTCCAAATTTTAAAAAATTATTTTGAAGTCAAATATTTGCATTGCAAGTTTGTTATTGCTATTTGAAGTATCCCCTTCCTTTCATCTCAAGTTAGCAAGAAGAGAATGGTGCTTCGGAAATTGAAAAGTAAGATAAAAAAAGAACACCATTAAAATCAGAACACTTAGGCAGTACTATGTTCACTGTACCCATAGAGGCGTGTAACATTGCACAATGTCAACAGAAAGAATTTTCAAAGTGCCTCATAATGTACCAGGTACAACTTAAAGTGTTCGGCAAAATAAATTTAACAAACTTCGAAATCAAATGTAAAAGCTGGCAACTTATAATACAATCAACTGAACACGACCATTAAAACATGATCAGACAATTCGATTTTTACCCTAATTGAACGAAACTGGGATTAGATTAAGTTAAATATAAAACATGCCCTCGTCAGAACGTCGTATCAACAAAATCGCTTCTCGAGTAACTACGCAAGGTTGCTGCCATCAAGATGTGAATACAAAATTTCGTTCTCGATAAATTTCAAGTTAGGGAATGTAACATTTAACGGATCAAACTGTCGCAGGAGAAAGCGAATGCTCAACGTTTCTGCTATCGTGACAAGTGAATTCTAACAATTAATACTGATCCCGACTTCATATAGACGTTGTCGTATGATGATCTGCTCCGTTCTGGGACTGTGTATTGTGCGATAACGACGTTAGCTCGTTTCTGCTTAGATGGTTCACGATTCCGGCTCCTAGCGAGTCGCCCACCACGTTCACCGTTGTCCTGAAGCGGTCTCTGCAAATTTAACCAAGTTATACTTTTCATATCTATTTTTTTTAACAATATATTATTCAAAGCATGGAGCATCAAGAGTAGATGGAAATAGAAGAAAGCATTCTAAGATAGTGGGCTCTATGGTCCTGCAATTTGAGGAAACTCACAGCAACCAATCAACAGCGATAACCAGAAAGACATCATCAGCTGGAAGGCGAACAGTATCCAGCACCATTACCATTGTCACCAGACCTGCCTGAGGAATTCCAGCTGCTCCAATACTTGCAGCAGTTGCTGTAATACTGAAACAAGTATTATGGCATATTATTTTGATGTCAGACTTGTAACCTTCCTCTCAGACTTGAATATTGTTTGATTTACCTCACTGCAACCAGCTGACCAAAGGTGAGGCTGACCTGCCGTACTTGCGCGATGAAGATAGCAGCCACTGCCTCATACAGAGCAGTGCCATCCATGTTAATGGTAGCACCAATTGGCAGCACGAATCTCGTGATTCGAGGGTCAATGTTATTCCGCTCCTCCAGACAGTTGATAGCGATTGGAAGAGTGGCAGAACTCGAAGAGGTGCCAAATGCAGTGACCAACGCTTGTGCCATGTTTGATATGTACACGTACGGATTCTTTTTCGTCAGGACGAAATACAAGATGGGTAGAACTATGAAACCGTGTATGCATAAACCGATTAGAACGGTGAGGAAGTACATTCCTAGCTGGGCAACGACTTCGTCTAATGATTGCATCTCTGTGATCTTTGCGCCTACCAGGAAGAACACACCTATGGGTGACAACCTGTGAAGGCAGAATTATTTGAAACTGCTACATTTTGCGAGGGAGTGAAATTTGCAATGAAATGCCTAATTTGAAATGAAATGCGTATTCACCAGATCACCCAGTGAGTAATTAGCATCATCGCGCTCGACAGTGACTCGAAGAAGTGAAGAAGAGGTTTCCCTTGCTGTTCCATCTTTCCTAGAGTGATGCCTAGAGCTGTGGCAAAGACAACCAGACCCATAATGTTGGTCCCGGAGACGCTCTTTTGCACTAGCTCCCAGTTGTCCATATTGTCTGCACAAAGATTTTCAAAATTACAAATTTTTAATTTCTCACTGATGCTAGACCAGGCCAGGCCACTGGTCTACCTTCTATTCTTCAAGGATTCTATAGTGATCTTCACCTGTGGAACCATTCACTGGTTTCTGCATTTCGGTCCTGTGCTGAGAAATGCAAGCTTCCACCAGATTTGGAGGAAACATATTCCGAACTAGATCCATCAGAGTATCTACTGTGGACACGTTCTGTGAGTGTTCTTTTGTCTTGATGTCTGGGTTGTTTCCCACTCCGGGTTGTATCGTAATTACCAAAATTATACCTGAAAAGGAGAGTTCAACATGAAGAGTTCACTTCAATATAAGATGTATCAATTTCTTTGTTAAAAAATGATGCTGTAAATCTTCACTGACCTAGTATAACAGCGCTAATAGTGGTAACCATGTAATAAACGATAGCCCGAGCCCCAATCCTACCGCTCAGCGACAAATCAAGAGATCCTATGGCTGAGACCAAACTGGATATGATTAGCGGCAGGATCAAACTCTTCAGCATCCTCAGGAACAGGTCTCCTAAGTAGTTGATGTACATAATCTCGCGTTTCGTCCATCCTTGCGGTCGTGAGCTTCTCAGGATGATACCAAGGATCACACCACCGACCACACCGCCCACAGTGAGCATAGTCAACGAGTTGTGCCTCAGACAGGCTAGAACCTTCTCTCTCCTGGTCTTTGGCCTCTTGTTCGGGTCTTGGGGATAGTATGAGGTGCGTTCTATGATCTTGCATTGTGGATCTGCTCCTGATAGTGGGGACCTGAAAAATTGGGGCTGTGTTAGAACAAGGTGTAAGCTACAAGATGTAAGCTACAATATGTAAGCTACATAAGGTGTTTCTGATAAGTTGGCAAGACTTGTACAATATAAAGGAATTCTCTGAAGAATATCTTGAAGGAATTATGAAGAATAAAATCACCTTAATTCTCAGTGCAAATAAATCGCCAGAAATTCCAAGAAAAAGAAACTACCAAGGGTTAATTGCAAGAATTAATCCTACAACGATGTTAACGAGTCGCGGCTCGTAACTCGGTCACTTCGATCAACAGTGGTTAGAAAAAAAATGTTGTCGAACCAAGAAATTGCGTTAGACGATATCTTATCGTCAGACGAGTAAAAAAGACGATTGCGACCTTAACATCTGATCTCTTGCATAGTCAATGAACGCCTTCTGATTTTAATTAGCGTGTGACTTTTAATTCCTTCCTTTTTGTGAGTACATCTTCAATGAATCTTAATTAAGTATATTTTTAACAGACAAGTATTTGGATGTATTGTCGTGTTTATTTTTCATTTTTATTATTCAGATTCCTGCTTCGTGAGTTCATTTTTATATCCACGTGTTTTTCTACGAGAAGATTCGTGGGTCGAACTGGTCCAACTTGATCATTAACATTCGCGAAACGTTTGCGTAACGTTCACGAGTAGTAGTTCGGGATTTTTAATCGAGTTGTGTGAAAGTCTGACGGCCTTGAATATTTAACACCATTGATGAGAAGGGTACGTCTTCGCGAAAAGAAGTCACCTTCTAAATTAGAATTACGACTGGAAAGAAATAAGCGTACGATTAGTAAAGCATTGGCACAGAATGGCAATTGACAATGATTATTATATCCCTGCTGTCTTGATTCAGGCATGCGCGAACAACGTTTGAATCGAATCAAATAATCAGTCAATCCGTTTGACACAATCGAGTCAATCTCTCAACATTTAATTAACTCTCAACACCATAAGTATGTAACTCTATGTAAGTATATAACTCTTACAGTACAACTTTGCAATTGTGGAACTTAGAATGTTCTGAACAGAGAGTTTGAAATAATTGATGAGTCTGATAATTTATATATGAAACGTAGGTGTTTTAAAGTGAACTGAAGTCACCATTGAATTAAGAAAATAAAAATCGACGATATCGTAACCCATAGCTTCTCAAGCAAGGGTCAAAGTAGTCTTCTTTATGATTTGATTGAGTCTTTGCCGGCGACCTCGGGTTAAGTAGGCCTCAAGAGGCGGTCCAAGTCTTGAAAGTCTCGTTGATGACCTTGTAGCGAGATATATTGTCCTTTGAGACTCAGTCATCGACAGGTTTTATTAGCTTGATAGAAACATTTCGAAATCTTATGTGCCTTCTTCTTTTACTTTGAGTAAGCGAGACGAATATTTTAACAAATTGGATTAATCTTAAGTGGCTCCACAGCAAACTCCACTTATCAAATTGTGCCTTTTCACGGTACGCCTCTGAACGCCGAATTCATTCACTTATTTCTTTGCCTTGACGGCGTCATTTTCTCTGAGTTTGAACATCAACTTGCATTTTATCACATCTACTGCATCATAATTACTGATCATAATTAATGAATATACATAAGCTAATATAAGCTTTACGTAAGCTTTAAAGAAGAAGTGTTTCTTCCCTCTGAAACCTGAACTCTTTAATAAACAGAAGTGTAACTTTTCATGAAAATGATTTAACATTGAGTCACGCAAATTCCTGCAACATTCCGTAACCGTATCCTCGCAAATCCATTAATCAAGCATGCTGCGCATAGTAACTTCATGTGCCTATTAATGTCATCTCAGAATGCCGCCTATATCATACAACACATCAAACTTTTCATGCTCTGCAAAATTTCAAAGAAGATAAATAAAATGAATACATACAATTCAGTGGCAATTTCCATGGTTGTGTCCTATGCTGATTTACGTGATGGTATCCAAAAGACGGTCACCCGTTCGCATAGATCACTTCCGGTGAACCGGAAGCTGCTTCGTGTTCCGATCAGGGAAGAAATACGGTGTGGTGCGATCGGAGAGATCGGAAGAAACTGTTGATCCGGTGATATACCGGCCACTGTCTTCTTAGATCACTGTGAATAATATCGGAAATTAGGAGGAGGAAGAGAATGGGGATCGGTGTATACGCGTGGCGAGTCAACGCGTAATGATCTGATGCGTGGAGATAGTCGCTGTAATTCAATGCGTGATAATCTGACGCGTGGTGACTGTACGATTGATAATCTAACGCGTGGTGACTGTACGCTTGATAATCTAACGCGTGGTAAATCAACAGATGGTAATATAACACTTGGTAATTCAACATGTGATGATCTAACGCGTGGTAATCTAGCGTGTAATAATCTAACGCGTGATAATTCAACGAGTGATAATCTAACGCGTAGTAACTCTATGGTTGATAATACAACGTGTGGTAATCTAACGCGTGGTACTTCAACAAGTGATAATCTAACGCGTGGTAACTCTATGGTTGATAATATAACGTCTGGTAATACAACGCGTGGTAATCTAGCATGTGGTAATCTAACGCGTGGTAACTCTATGCTTGATAATCTAACGCGTGGTAACTCAATCCGTGGTAATCTAACGCGTGGTAATTCAAAGCTTGATAATCTAACGCGTGGTAATTCTATGCTTGATAATCTAACGCGTGGTAACTCAACCCGTGGTAATCTAACGCGTGGTAATTCAAAGCTTGATAATCTAACGCGTGGTAATTCTATGCTTGATAATCTAACGCGTGGTAATCTAACGCATGGTAACTCAACGCTTGATAATCTAACGCGTGGTAACTCAACCCTTGGTAATCTAACGCGTGGTAATTCAAAGCTTGATAATCTAACGCGTGGTAACTCAACCCCTGGTAATCTAACGCGTGGTAATTCTATGCTTGATAACCTAACGCGTGGTGACTCAAAGCTTGATAATCTAACGCGTGGTAACTCAAAACTTGATAATCTAACGCATGGTAACTCAACCCGTGATAACCTAACGCGTGGTAGCTCAACGCATGATAATCTAACGCATGATAATCCATCGTGTAGTAATCTACCGTGCAGTAATCAAGCGTGCAGTAATGAATCTCATTCCCAAAAAGTGACGACGTTAAAGATCTGACCCCTCAGAGTAGATCCAGCGTAGCAAAGGACCGTCCGCAAGCAGCAAGCACATCTATGAAAGGAGAAGATATGAAGAAAGAGGCGCAGGGTAACAGCAAACACAGGCGAAGCAAAAATTGTTTGATGATAATCGTACGTACGCGTTGAACGTTGCTGGATGTACTTGCTAGTCCAGGAGAGGATGTGTGCTGATAGAGCTCTCAATCTGTACCACCTTGGGTGGTACGATTAGCTATGGCGATCCCCCTACGACGATCTCTTCCTGCCGCGCTAGCCTATCATCGCCAGATACATTACAAATACACCGTAACTACGACCCCATCGGGAGAGCACCGGGTTTTATGCGTCTATTGTTTGTCGGTTGTCCTGCTATCTCTCTCGCTGATCCGCTCTCCTCGATCACCTCTGCCCTTACTCCGATACGCGCACCGATCCCTTCCTTCCGACTTCCACTAAATCCTCTTCCTCCGTGGCTGTTTTGCGATGGATGCTGAACGCCGATGATTGAATCTCGGGGATTTTTCGACAACCGAATGGGTTCTTTTAATCTGCAAAAGAAAGGTGTACATTCAGATTTGAATTGATTTGTTACTTCTGTCTTTTCAAACTAGATATGATATCATAATGACAATCACATGACAATCGTATTAAGAATATACATTGTTGTGACCATTAAACTGTAAGCTTTTAATTGATGTAACACTACTGGTATTTTGCGAAACTTTTCAGTCATGAAACTGTGTCAGTTTCGAAATCAGCTTGATAAGCGACCTAACGCTGGTAGCCTAATTCGTTTAGCATGCTGGAAGATCCTCTTGTTTTTTGGTAGGCGGATCGAAAGTAGGAAGGAAGTGGTAATGCTTGGAAGCGTCAGAAGGGTCGAGATGGGTCAAGTTTATAATTGATTACAGTCGGGTACGCTGAATGCGCTCGATACGCAGACCCGATCGAAAGGACTCTTTGTTCCGTCGGAAAGTAATGCGGATTTTGATCCTCGAAAAGAATGCCACGCTTCTCAGTGTCGCAATAGAGCACTTTTACGTGTCGAGAGGAAGAAAGCTTTAAACGTATGCCACAAAATATTCTGGACTATCTGGAGCGTTAGAGTGTTCAACTTCAATCTGATCCATTTGCGCAGAATGACCCTTTTTGACGTGCTGGTTTCGTTTGGTGCTGGGAGATGGAACCTACGGGCAATTTGTGATTTTAGAAACAAGAATTAGACAAGGAATATGAAGAAGAAGCTATGAATGAAGTTGAGGAAAAATAAGAAGAGTGGGAAAATTAAAAAATTAAACTGAAGAACCAAGGAACTCGATACAGTTAAGAGAAGCCCGCAATAATTGTTTCTTCATGGCCTTCTGACATCTAACATCAAGTCTACAATCGAACAATTACATGATCAAGTGCAAAGAGCAACACGTCGAGCAACAAGCTAACCAATTATTCATTCACGCGAACTTGTCTCGCCTATCCTGAATTACATAGCTTCCCGCATTCGTCAAGCGATGAATTTCAAATGGCACGACGCCAAAAGACGCTAAACAAAATTACGCTCGAGTATCGTTCAATGTTTTCAAGGTACAAAAACATTCATCGCTTCTGAATGAACTTTCCACTTCCTATTTTTTTCTATCTGATATTTTTTTCATATCTGATAGGCCTAAAGCATCGAACATAAAATATCCCCACGACAAATTACCGGCAATTTAATGAACTATTATAGAAGCAGATCGTGACGCAATCGGTTGATGATATTCGAGCGAAACGTAGGCGAAGACTTTGGGTATCCGTAATTATTTCTTTCTTATCCTGGCCTCGAAGGTTAGGTTACTAACGTCGAAGGTAACTAAAAAAGAAATTGAATTGATTTGAAATGATAATCAGAGATATTAATTTATGGAAATTAGGTAATGATGATTTGCTTATCCGTTTTTAGCACAAGATCAAAGGGTGCTCTTTTAATTTTTGATTAACGAGTTAATCAAACGTTTAACCTGGTAAATGGGCTACTTTTCCATGAACGTTTAACCGAACGAGAGCTCCCTACTCTTCGCTCATTACGTGCAATTATATTGCTAAATTGCTTGCCCTATATAATATTCAATTATCCCCTAATAACCAAAATGGTTTATAATATCCAGATATTCTTGAAGATATAAATTACTTTCAATTGCGAAGACGATTTCACGCTGATCAATTTCCAAAATCATTTCCCTTGATAGCGAAACTAAAGCTTGAAGGCCGTGAAAAGAAATGTAACGGTTCCTTAAAATCAGCTACTTGCTATTCCTCTAATTTATTCTTGTTATCCGAGTAACGGGACCAGACGTACGAATTGTGAGCATTTGTCAGAAAGAAGATTCCAACAAGATTAAGTCTTCATAAGTCACAAACACCCTGCCAGACAAGCCACTAATGCTCATGTAAAAATGGCAATATACCGCGAGTCTGTACAGTTACAAAATTCTTGACGTTCAGTATGCATGAAATCAGAGAACAGATTAGGTACACAAATAATTACGATTCAAGAACGCAATTACATTCTTATGCAACGCTGATGTAAATGATGTTTATCGTGGCGCACCATTTGTCCCATCTATTGTGAAGCACAAAAAGGAATACGGACAGTTCCGGTTCATACTCTCATTTTCACTCATATTTTCTGAGACCGCAGTATAATCACCGTCCGCATTTTCGAACAATCTGGATCAATTATTGTATAATAAGAACCCTGTAAAAAATATATGCCATGTATTAAATGTAACCTCATAGCAACAGTGCAAGTAATAATTATACTGTTACTTCCTTCCCGTTTATAATTATACGTGGTATTAGATAACATATGATAATAAACGGTGGAAGCCGATAGTGAACTATTTTGCGGAAGATTTAGTAGACTATGATGCGACACGGCACAAAGTTTATTTTCGACCAACTAAATACGTCTATTTCCGACGTAGTTCTGTCAGTATCGTCAATATTCTGACAAACGTGTGTTCAATCATATTTTAAAATTATCTACTAAAAGCATATTTGCATTTTAGCTACAGCTATCCGTTTTAACGTACCGACGCACCATGTGCGTCATATAACAATGGACGCACGAAATGCGTCTTGCGAAGACACTTGTGCAATAGTCAGAAGATAAAGATCATACTCCATAATAGAATAGCATCTTCAAAAATAGTTGCACGAAGAATATCTGCACGATAAAATTAATGCGCGATAAATTCATGCATGTTTGAATAGATGGTATTGAAACAGGTAGCAAACAGTGGTCCATGGTTTTATTTTCTTGGCAGCGTCGGTGAATATGAACTCTGTTGACAAAAACGAAGTTGAAGCCAATTTCGATATTCCCAGATACAAGTTGTACGCAAATCGTGTGTATGTTATATAATATTTGTAAAATGATACCCACTTTATCTAAATTGCCTAAAAAGTGCAATTTTTTCCTTGTCCTTTCTGATTCGCTAATCGTAACATAATATTTCACGGGTTCCATTATCGCATTACTTAATTGTCTGTTCTCTTCTACCGTCAACTATAATCGCCGCACGTGTGCCGTCCCTGTAATTTGATCGTGGTTTCTATGTAACCGTCAATCATTTAACCGCAAATTTCTTCATAGAGAACCTTAGGAAAGACAAATTTGTCTTTGGCAATAACCTGGTCCATTTTAACGCATCTCTTGTAAAAAATAATTGTCTTAGTAATAAATAAAATTTGATCGTGTTTTTCCGTGTGAGACATTTCCGCCAAAACGCCATGCAATAATCGATTTGTGACAAGTTGATATATTTTCGATATTATAAATCGAAACTTATCGCAAACTTCATTCTAAAAGAAATTACGGTTATGTTTCTTTTCGTAATAAACATGGTTTAACCTATATTTCAATAATAAGTTGCTGGACATTACACTTACATTAATACAGTCATTCAGTTGGGGATAATTTAATAACAATTGCATTTTCAAGCACGAATGGAATGCAACGATGACAGATACGAATGAAGAGTATATATAACAGTTTCTTTCATCGCAATAAGAATAACATGCAATTTGTAATCGCAGACAAAGTGAATTTGATATGCAGCGTTTCGAGATCAGTCGATAATTGACGAAAATCTCTAACGAGTATCGACGGTTGGTGAAAGTCGAACTTCAGTGCAAACTGTTCACGATTAATTTATCGATTGATACATTGGCATCATTACGTACTTTTTATCGGTACATACTGCGGTCTTAGAAAGAAAGATTAAGTGTCTCACCTTGAACAAGCTTGTTGAAAGTCGCTCTTCGATTTCGCGATCTAAACAAAACACTTCGCGTGCACAGTAAGTACGCGCCGATTATGTTGCCAATAAAACGTTATACGGAAGTGATTACGTTTACCGCGTAAACTATAACAGACTCGCTTCGGATCAAATAATAGCAAAAACAAAAAAGAAATACAGCACAACAATTCACTCGTTATATTATCGCTTTCGTGTATACTGTGCGATGACAGTCGTGGGACTGTGCTACTACTAGGAGCGTGTAATTCGAGCCAAACGTTCGAAAAGCGCGCGAGTGGTGGGGAAGTCGAAGGAAAGCAAGAAAGGAACAAGTTCTATGAACCGCGTGATCTGATTGGTCCTCGCGTAATCTGGCTCGTCGCGTTCGCCAATCACGTTCCATTACTTGAATCCAAGCTCCACCAATTGACGCACATCCTCTATATAGAGGCGGTAAATCGTAAACGAATCTATCAAAGTTTTAATTGATAATTACAATTAAGATCAAGGAAACAAGGAAAGTATATCTTCTTCAAAAAATTATATCATTTTATTATCACATTTATAATATTCAGTCTTATAATATACAGATTAATACGTTATAAGGTTAATTTACAATACTCGGATCGTAATTTAAGACCAAGGGCAGCAGGAGCGACGGTACTTAACCAACTGACTAACTTATTTTTACTGTAAGACAATTAAATTGTTAACTATTTTTATCTGGTATAATTCCAAATATTTTATTACCTTTTACTTGTAATTTTTAGGAGTTCCTGAGACATACAAGGATGCAGATATAAAAATGGTGTGCTCAATATGGGATGCATTGCTTGTGACAATTCTGTATACTTCAATTCTGCTCCGGTAATAAGTGACTGCGCCTCTTCCATAGATATTAGATTAATTCCAGGGAAATCTGTCGAAATTAATTATATAAATAATTTTTTTTTAAATTGAAATTTCACGAATGTTAAATAACTTTCGAATTTACAGATCGATCGTGGACTCGCATCAAAAAATTAAGTTCTTGGCAATATAACAAGCAATGCATAACGTGACAAAGCTCAATTATTGTTTAAAAAATTGGACAAAAGTTATAATTCACATATATATATGATCATCGGAAAAATGGTATGTTCAATGCGCGGCATTGTCACAAAACAGATTTCCTTTGTTTCTCGTATCTTTCTCCTTCAGTCACTCTTGATCCCTTTGCTGACTTCTTAGCCTAGTTTAAGATCGGCTACAATCGAAGGAACAATCAGTATTACGTCGCCTGCGACTTTCAACAGCCTGTACATACCAGATTAAGGTCTAGTGGTGATCAGGGAGCAATTGTAATGGAAGTTTCATATTTTGATGAATAGATGTTATAAAATTAACGACATTCAAGAAATGCCGATTCATAACCTCATCAAATATAAACGAAGTTGAAGGTGATTTTTTATCTACTTTCTTTCGATCTTTTAATTACTTCATTATCGTTTTCACCTGATTTCCAGCCATTAAAATAAAGCACTGGAACGCTGTAGCTCATCGACCACAATACATGATGTTCTGTGACCAATGGTTTCTCGATTGGAGAAGTGGCTTCAAATGGGTCTTCACCTAACACGAAGTTCAAATCGGTAAACTCATTATTTTCCGATGCTTTGCAGTCAAGGGCGGAAGTAAATTGCTTTCTCTGTCGGACGATGTATGCTTCTCCAGGAATGTCCTGTAAATCATATCCTGAAAGTTATCATTTCTTCAATTAATAGAGATTGAACTGCTTAATGGATTCACCTTGTTACCTCGCAGTTCCCATCCATCTGATAACTCATTCGACATCTGTACGAAACTTTCGGCATTCTCAAGAAACTCGTCCCACGTAATCGTGCCTAAACCGTCCATCGCTGTTCAACAGACCAAAGGAATATGTAAATAATTTCTTGTACATGAATCACTCAGTTTTTAAAATAGGTTATTGCGAACCTTAAGAAATAACAAATTTAATATAACTTTTATATCATGTTTTCCAGAGTTCTTGAATTTTCCACCTTGAAGAGGTGGTAGGTCGTTTATTTTTAAAGTTGAAATTTTACGCGCAACACCATCGACTCCTGTGCGCTGAAACCCGCTCGCCAACTTACAATGTAGCACACCTATTGAAACGCAAACATTTACAATAATGACGTTTTCCAACATTACGTATTAAATTCTATATATAGATTTAAGTTTCGCAGCGCAATTGCACGGTATAAAAAAACATTTGATTATATATTTGCATGGACCTATCAGCTTAAAAAAGTTGGTGATCAATGAAATAATATAACCTTCCTATTTGATGTGCCTTGATAAAATGAAGAGTAGAAAGTTTTTCTATCATATAGTAAATTAGATAAAGAATTTTGGAACAGTTAAAGGCAATGAGTTAAAGAGTGATGTGCAAAGAACAAAGGACCTTGAAACTGCTTTTCATTTTTCATTGATTTCCAAAAATTAGCGATACATTAATTTCGCAATAAAATTGTGTAAGGGGAAGCTGTACATCCGAAGGAATGGCCTGTCTCTTTTCTGTCCGACCCCTCGACGCTCAGTCAATTGTCGGCTATTTTGCATCGGCAATGTTCGCTGATATTCGGTCGTGTTCGGTCATCCCCGCTATCGGTACATGTACTCATAGCTTGTATAATGTATGCGTGCCATGCACATATATATATGCAGCTCGCATGCAGCAATCGACAGCCAATAGCGCGTGGAGTTGTAATCAGGAATGTAGCAACGCCAGATAGAATTTTTGAATCTAATTTGTTCTATTATTATTATTTTGAATATATTCAAATATAACGACGAACAAATCCATTTAAAAATTCTGTTCGAATAAACAATCATTACCTTTATATACTAAAAATTAAAATACTAGTTCTATAAGTTTCAAACAACTGTACAAACTATGTAATACTTATATGTTATCAAAGACAATTTATATTTTATAATTTAAGCATGTAAAATGTTTGTTTGTATATATAGATAAACAATACCAATAAGTCTAAACTTATATAAACGATACTAAATGTATAGAAAAGATAAAGTAGAATAATTTGTACTCAAGGAAAAATTATTACTATTTCTATAGATTAGTGAACAGAACACAATGAAAACGAAACAATTATGAAAATTAAACAGTAAAAAACCAACTTACGTACGGTACTGGTGTGAAAAGCAATAGCTGCGCGCGCAGTCGTTATGAGCATGCGCAAAAAAGAGAGCGACATTAGCGTAAGAGGAAAGGAGATAGCCAGTAGTTCCCGTGACGTGTACGTGTGCAGGTGAACTGTACGTATGCTGAGTACGAAATACACTTCTAAACTCGTGCGTATTTATACAAAAATAAATTCATTCGTGTAGCGTCCACGTGTGTAAAAGTGACACCGTGTTTCGTCTACGTTTACCACGAGTTAGGTATGTAGGTGTAACAGATAAAAGAAACGGATTCGTCGATACGGGAGTGAGAACGCGCGTCGACGTACGCATCAAGGATTTGGAAATCGGTGTGTCACCCTGTTACGAAGAAGTAAAGCGCGAGTGTGTCTGTCTGTCTGTCTCTATCTTTAATGAGGTGAGGCGGGATGAGGTGAAGCGTTGTGAGGAGAAGTGAGGTGAGTGGCAAGCAAGCCGAAGCTGAAGAGAGTGAAGTGACCGAGCCGTAACTGCGGTATCGCGGTGAGAGGACGCGTCGCCGTTTCTGTCAAATTACAGAACGCGAGGGTACAGAAACAGGTTTGATAACCAGTGAAAGAATCGAAGAAAAAGAAAACGAGAGAGAGGGCAAAGTGAACTATTCAAGGGAAAAAAGAAGAGGAGTGTGAAGTCTATGAACGATGACGGCGTGCGTTCGTTCCGCGGTCATGCGTTCGCAATTCGCTGAGCCATGATATGGAATACTGTGTTTAGTATAAGCTGCTGGCTGACGTGTGTGACCAAACAAAAAATTATTTTCACTATTGGTTCGGTTCTTTTTCCCGCGAAGTGATGTGCACATTTTCGTGCCCGTTCCTTTGGAACTAAACACATTTACGGGTACATTTTTTATATATTAACATTAGATAAATAAAAATATAATTTATATAAAATTGATACTCAACGAATTTTTATAAATACGTAGATTTTCGCGAAGCTCATACCGTGTTGTTATTTTGTTTGCATAAAAACTGATAACGTTTATATTTGAAACTTTTTCACACTGTTCACATATCATTTGAGAATGAAAAACAGTATTTTATTTTAAAATCACTTAGTGTTTACTTTGGGCCAATAACCTGTCAAGGTTTTATAAAAATAAGCTCAAAAGTGTAAAAAAAATATCACGTGATAAAGATGCGGGAATTGTACACGTACGATTGTATACTGTATAAGAAAAATAAGTATCAAATTGATAGAAAAACGATCGGTATCGGTTTCTTTGTAATTGCTAGATGTCGCTAATACCTATTCGAAGTTGGCGGGGAATTGACTTTATCCAATTTTTTTGTATCTGCAGATATTACAATTGACTATTAAGTTCGGACGCCGATAGGTAATGGAAATGACAAGAGGACTCGTGCTTTACGAAACACATTCGAGGACTGCAATAAAACAATAACTGCAAGCGTGTACAGTTCGAAATACATGCAAGGAACGAGAGCACTTATAACGCGCGTATATTCGATGCCAACGGAAACTAGGGAAAAGTTACTATATATCTAATTCGACTTTCTACCATATGGTGGCGTTTTAATCGTTCTTGATGCTTGCCACCACACCGGTCATTCGCATATCGCCCTCTACGATACTACTCCTAACAATTCAGTTCTTCCTTTTCCCCGTTCGTGCGGGATCAACAGTGTCGGACATTACTAGTTGGGACGGAACAGTGGTTCTGTTTACACTGGAAAAATTGACAGTCTTCAAGGATGTATGCAAAGGGGAAGGGGTCTACAGTGCCCTCGGACTCTCAAGCAAGAGAAAAGTACGTATTATTTGAATCTTACAGTATAATATTATAGGAAATTAAAATAAAAAAAGTCAAAGAAAAAAATTTGCCGATTGATCGACCAGTGACTCCATTTTTTTTCTTTACACCGAGCGTGCGTACAGGTATCGGACGGTCCAAAACCGGGGATCCGGATTCGTCGAGTAATGCGGCATTACTGTCTATTCCCGATGTTAATATACGTTATAATGAAAACATCCGATGTACGATCTTGTAAGATTTCTTGTCATTTGAGGAATCTTAAGTGACATTTAATTCGATTTTCGTTGATTTTCAAACAAATATAACTTAGCGGAATAATTTGGCGGAAACATTTATGAATCGAGTTGTTTACTTAACTGTCTTGTTTGCAACCTGCTTTCCCGTAAATTCGACTGAACGTGTGCTATGACTCACTAGAATCAGTTGTCTTGCAAAGCAGGCCGATTGGGCGCCATGTTTTTATCATTTGCAACCAAGTAGTTTACGCAAAATATTGGTACTATGACATTTCTCAAAACTTTTTTTTTTACATGATCTAATCATGTATAAATATCAAATTTTATTGTGGACACATATGCAAATATTTCAATTCGTGTGTTTGTTAAACAAAATGATTGTTGTTTTATATATTTTTGTAAATAATGGCTACACTGTTTAGGGCTAAAGTTGATAAAAATTGAATGTTAATTAATAGAAATTTCTTGAAGTACATTAAAATAATTTTGTAAAAATATAGTAACATATATTTTTCATACTTAAAAAATATTTATTATTCCAGGTTAGCCTTGTACGTGTATGAATATTTATTACATGTTGGCGCACAAAAGGCAGCACAGACATTCTTATCGGAGGTAAACATTTAAAAATAATTTAAAGATCTAATGAAATTTATAGAAAGTCTTGGTATTATATTTTTATTACATATTTGTTCTGTTTTGTTGTGTAGATACGATGGGAAAAAAATATCACACTTGGAGAACCACCTGGGTTTCTACATTCCTGGTGGTGGTAAGCATTATACACAATATTAGCATATAGTAATGGACATAATTAAAGAATCATCCATAAATAAATATTACAAATATAATTGTTATCATTTCAAATTATTTCAGTGTATTTTGGGACTTATATTCTGCGGCACCAGAACGGCGGGAGTCTTGTGAACACAGTAGCGAAGCAAAAGCTTTTCACGACTATGTTAGTATTATTGTATAATGATACAATTCTTTTACCATGAATATATGCAAATTTTAATATAAAAACTTTGTTAACAGGGTTTTGTAAACAGTGGTTATGGAGTCAATGGTATTGCTCATGTAAGTTTTGTTATATAAATTTAAATGCATAAAGTATTTAATACTTCTTGCATCCAGTTAGGTATTAATTTGGTTAGTAGATAACTATAAGATCATTACAGAATGCTGGTCCAGCACCTTCCCCCATAGGACAAATGCCACCCAATGATGGCATGCCTGGTGGTCCAATGCCTCCTGCTTTCTTCTCAGTAAGTTTTTTTTTTTTATATTTTTAAACTACTTATATATTTATGTTTAATTTTTTTTTCGAATAATCTGTACGTGATAAACTGAAGAATTACGCGAAATATTAATTTATTTGATTCGTAATTTGTTATATTTTACGTATTATTTAAATCTACATTAAAACGTGTGTTTTTAATACAATAATTTATCTTTTAAAAATGAAAAAAGTATATACTTTTTACTTTTCTTTTTATTTTCTTTGTTATTATTCTGTTACAACTACATAATTTCAAATTCTCAGATTGTAATATATAGCATAATTAATGCCTCTCTGTGGAACATGCCCATTTTATTTTGAAGAACATGTCTATTTATATTAACTAGACTTTATACGTACATGCATATGTGTATATGTGAAGAGGAGGAAGGGGGAAAGATAATAAACGCGTATTTTTCCTACAGAGATACAATATTATCATTATCAAACATTATTATATAATATAAAATTCATTACAAATTATTGAAGTTACATATAATAACAATTTGGTCTTTAAGTATAAGAAAAAAGAAGAGTTAGCATTACAACGTTTATTTTAATGAAATCAGACATGTTGACTGTATATAAACACATCACAAATACTTACGTGTATATACATAAATATGTATATTTGTTACCATTGTTATGCCTAGTTACAATTTTCATTCATTATAGTCCTACACTTGATTCAAAGCTTTTAATATAACCGAACATAGATGTTCAAATAAAACGTAGGATGTATATATAAATAAAATAATCATAATATATAAATTTTAGTGGTAGTAAGTCACAGAAGACATCACAGCAACATTGTTTAACATAAATATGTAACATTTTATATCCTATTATGTCTGGTTAATATAGAATAATAATGTAAATAGTTATTACAAATATTTCATTTACATGGAAGAACTACATTCTTTTGATAAATATAAAATGTACACAAACTAACTGAATATATATTAGTTTTGAAACAAGTGTACATTCAAATAAGATTCTCATGTCATGCTTGTCTACACTGTATCTATGTACTTATTTTCTCTCTGCTATGTATCTAACACTTGTATGTGCGTTCCTCTACCATTTTCACTCTCTGATGTCCTTTCTGCATAAAGCAGGTTTCAAAAGTTTATCAGAAAAGAGTTGTATAGATGTTAGATAATAGCTTTAGTTTTAATACTTTTAATACTTGTATAGTAGGTATACATATAAATGATAGTGTTTTACCTTGTGCTGACCTAATTTTCACTTAACATTGTATCAATTTTGGTCTTAGTAATTATGAGTAATTTATTCAGGTATACAAAATATATCTAGTATTTTATGCTAGTACTTTTTTTCTTGATATAGGACTTCGTTTTGCTCTCATACTCTAATAATAAATATTACAGTTTTTATTAAAAATTTTATAAATAGCAGCATGTACCGACATTTAGGATAATACATTGATTTTATCTTAAATCAATATATATGTCAGCTAAGGTTACACTCTTTCAAATTCTAATATATCTAACATAAAAGCCTGCTTAGATAGTAGCTTAGTATTCGATACAAGCGGTCCACGAATAGTTAGAACTAAATATTACTAAGGTATCCTCGTTGACCGCTTATCATTATATTGAGATAACAACATATGTAGGTAAAAAAGTTTCTTAGTTATGCGTATATTGCTTGGTCAAACTATCCTTCGAGTCATGTTAAGCTAATGATATTGAAACTAAAATAAAAACGACGAAGTTTCACTTTGAAATATGTAGTATATTTGATAAGGTATCATATTTTTGAAACTTACTATCTACTTTTCTATTTCAAAGTGAAATGAGATTCTCTCAGGCATTCATTATTAAATTCTTATTCTATGTATAAAGTGGTAATTACGAAATAATTGAATTACACAATCATTATGATAAAATGTAAACTTTATAATATGAAAGTTTAATTTATTACTGTATTTTCGTAATTATAACTTTTAGAATTTTAAGGTGCTGACCAACATAGTATTAACACGATCATACCCAAGCCTTCTAGTCTAGCTGTTGCCTGGATCGCAGTGTTGCTACATGTCTGTCGTTTGCGTTGCTTGTTGCAGAACAACTCGACAATGCGACCATCTCCGCCCACACACCCCTCATCACAGCCATCCCCCCAGCACCC